AAACAAAAACACCACCAAAAAAAAAACGGAGATACACTGGCCACAAAAGGGAGGAAAACCACAATCAAGTCAAAGCCATCCTCCAGAACTTTGCTGCCTTGTCAATATAAGAAGTCCATTTCCTTTCAGAACGTCATAGTTCCTGCCGCATCTCAGCCACCACCTCCTCGAGCTTCAGAGAGCAATACGAGGTTCTCAGACTCCTCAAGCTACTGAATGCTTCTACCTTTTCATAAGTCATTTTCTCTCTCAAAGAGCATCAGAGCCACTTCTTCAGAAAGCTACAGTTTCTTCACAGCAACTGACTGTTACTGCTGCCAGAGGGAAGTTAAGACAGCTCAGAAAAGAAAACAGCGGCCAACGTCATTGTCAAAAGAAGAGGAAGCGGCCGAAAGATACAGCCAGTGTAAAAGAAGCCCCTGTGAAACGCCTTTGGTGTGTGGGTACATCTGCAATCCAAACAAAGGGAGCTTCATGCAGCTGATATTTTTGCAGCAATAGCCTTCCAACAGCTGAGCTGTGTGACTGTCATTGCATGGACTCTTAATACTTGTATAGCTTCAGAATTAGATGAAAGAAATGCAGGTAGCGTGGAGTAACATTTGTGGGTCTTTACTGTCCTCCAAAGTCTGTTATTACTGTAACGATAGTTTTCCAGTGTCAGCACGATTCTTACATTTTCCAGCTGACACAGAGGAAAGCACAACAAAAACGCGTGGGCTGCCAAACCTTAATGAGATTGAGTTTGACCACACAGTCATGTCTGCTGAGCTCCATGAGTGAAAATTTTGGGTTAAACAAACAGAAATGTGTTGTGTTAGTATTTAAGTATCAATGCAATATAGTAACTAAATCTATTCAAAAGAAAACAACAGATAATCCAGAGTTTGTTTTCATGAATTACACTGATTCCAGTGAAAGCAATAATAGTCTGCATAGTATTTTAAAGAAAACACATGAAAGAAGTTACTAATCAAAAGAACACCTTCTGGGATAGCACTAATCTGTCCTGCTCCTCACGTCACTTGCCTGCAGAATAGACTCTGATGGCATTAAAAAAAGCACAGGACAAACAGAAAGAATGATTTTTTATAAAGCAAGAAGCCTCCCCACAACAGTTCACATGCAGGACTTAACTGAAAGAAGGATTTGATTTTTTTAATCAGGACTTCTTAGAAAGAATAAGAACTTAGACGTTCAGTTAATTAAGCCTCAATTATTTTACTTTTCTACTTCTCGGTAGTTTGCCATCAAGTATTTACACAATTAAAATCAGTGCAATTATGCAAAGTAGACAGATGTATTTGTGCACCAGGATGCAGAGTTGTACATACATCATAAAAATACAACTGTGATGGGTGTTACGACTCTTCACAGAGTAAAACAAAAAAGAAAATGCTTCTAAAATTATGATTCTCAAGTAACTAAAATATAAACTTTTGTTCCATCATTCTGTATACTATAAACAACCACCATAATGCCTCTTTCTTATTTACTGTTCACCTCCTTACCTAACAAATTTAGGAATGCTAATTGCTTATCTAGCTACAATCTAACAGGGAGAGATGATTTGAATATTTAGACTTCCACAGACCATAGTGGTATGATGATTTGCTGACAAGACGTTCACATCCTCAGGGGACAAGCTTATTAGTGTTCAGTGAAGCACTGTCTCAAGATAAAAAAACAAAAGGCAATCTAAATGTCCAGCCCCAAACTGGAGTCACTGAAGCAATTTTCTTTGCTGTTCAGAGTCTGTATCCAAACCATCACCTTCAGGCCCCTGTCCAAGTGAAAGACTACAGTAGAAGAGGTCACAGAGCAACCTTGACGTTTGGTGAGAAAATATCTAAAGAATTCAAAAACTAAGTAAGTATGCTTGTAAGACTGAAAACTTACTCCACAAAAGTCTGCAAGTAGGCTGAATCAGTTACACCTTCAGAATGTGCAATATGGGTTGCTTAGGTCTGTAGCAAAGTAATATAAAGATACTGTAACAGCAATGTATGATCCAAAATACATACTTGAAAGCAATGTGGATCGCCTGGAGGGGGATGCAAAAGACATTCCAATCAAATTTAAAAAAAAAAAAAACAAACAAAAACCAACAACTATGTCTAGGTAACATATGATACGCACTTTAACTAAGAATAGAGAATAATGAGAAAGAATCAAGTAATCACTGAGTAATGGAAAGATTAATATTGACTTTAGTAATTTTGAGGTCCAGTTTGAAGAAAGAATAAAAAAGTCAATGCAAACAGTCTTTGTAGGAATAGCTTGCACAGCAGGAAAACTGTAAAGTGGTTCCTAATAACATTCCAGTAAAACTACATTAGAGGACATTACAAGTAGCAAAGCCAAGCTCTCACAAGGCAAGAAATGCTAGGATGAAAGTAGCCTACACTACTTAATTCAATCCCTTGTGCAAATATATTACAACAGGTCAATTAAAGCCACATACAGAATTTTTACATGCAAATTTACTGCACAGAGGAGACTGTTTTTCAGAAATGCTGTTTATTCAACAAACTATTTTCTCATTGCTCAAAAAGAGGTCTTGCAACACGGCAAGCATCCTTCAAACCTTGCTGTGGTAACAGACGTTCTTTATTCGCTCCCTAATGCTCATCTATTATGACAAAATGTAACATTATGCATCTGTCTCAAAGGACATATTTGATTTCCAGCTGAAGCACAATAGATGAATTTTCCATATCTTTATGAAATGAAGAGGATAAATACACTTAACCTCTGTTCCCCATCTTCCAATTAGAAGAGTTAAAAGAAAAATCTTGGCTTCTGCGTTTTGAGACACCTAGACCTGATTTCGCAGAGAAGTAGCTGGTGCAGCACTTCAGATACAGCTGTGAGTGCTCACACTTCACAAACCACAAAGATTTCAAATCCAGCATTCGGAAATGAGGAAGACTAAACTGATGACTACTTTTTAAAGAGTCTGGTTTAAGCTGCTTGCCTAAAACCCACAGCTTGCAAGCAGGTAATATACAGATTAGTGCCCAAGTATAGTACAGATTTTCAAACTGAACAGCCTTAACACGCAGACATCATTTTCTCACCCTGCAGTGAATGCCCCTCTTCATTCACTTACAAATGCATCAACAACTGGCATCTGTGCCTCCTCCACTGTACCACCCCGATTCGTTCCCAGCACAGCCCCTCCCTGTGAAATTCATGAGGCTGTGCTTCTACAGCAAGGCACAAACATGTAATTGAAGTCCACAGCACAGCACATGAGCACAGCAAGGTTAGACTGATACTGCCTATACATTCCACAGCTTTCGAAGCTTTTGATTTTGCAACTATTTAATGCGTTGTTTTGTGTAAGTAAATCTTGATTTTCATTAAATAAATGTTATCTGAGACATATTAATGCCTCCCAGTCTTCCTGAACAATCTGCAGACACAGCAGCATCCCACCACCTTGTCTCCATGCAACAGCTCAACTTTGGACTATTTGTACAGCCCTAATTCTTAGTTCCTCACTTCCCTCCTTTGTTCTCCAATTTTTCTTGCACTTATCCCCAGGCTATGTGCCCAAATAGCATGACTAACCTTTCTTCCCCTACTGCCATCCCCCAATCAGGATCTTGTTTCATTAATATCTGAATTAGAATCTTGCTCCTTCCATAAGCCCTTTGCCCAAGAGAGAGAGAGATTTTCTTCAATCACAGTTCTGGTAACTGGACTCTGTTCACCCAAAACAGTGAGAAGCTCCATTCCCAGAAATAGCCGACTACAACATTGCAAAGTTTATAACATGGTTAGTTGTTTTGGATTTTTGTTTGGTTTTGTTTTAATCACTGTGAAAACCCAAACAAAAAGAAATATCCTTGCCAAATCCAAGACCCCTTTTCAGAAGAAAGGGATCATTCTCTATATTGAAGAGTCACCAGAACTTGTTTTTTTTCTTGATAGGGAAAAACAGCATCTTCTTAGCAACACAGGTGAACTTTTCTGGACAAATTATCACTACAGAATATTTCCATGAGAAATACATATATAAAAATATACATAATGTGATATTAATTAATTATAAGTATACATAATTATATAGAGGACATATAATATATATAATCAGAAGATTATATCTTGCTAAATTATAAAAATTAAATTTGTGCCTAGCAATTTCAATTGAAAGTCTGGAATGACTCCTACAATCTTAAAAGTGACATTTCCTTAAAGCGAAATTTGTTATTAAAGGTTGATGGGGAGCATGGGGGGTGTGTGGAAATAGCCAGCTTTGCACAGGTATGGTGTGCCATTAAGCAGACTGAAGATTAAAGTAGTTCTATGTGACTGTTAAGGTTTTAATCTTTCTATTTAACCTTAAAGCTCCATATCATGAATTCACCCTCAAGCTACCTGATGGGTAGATTTGTCCAAGATCAAAGACAATCAATTCAGTATCTCAGTCATGAAGTTTTGCTTTCAGGTTTTTGGTTTAGTTTCTTGATGTTCTACCTTTTTTTTTTTTTTTTTTTAAAGAAATTAACAGAAGTATACTGTTTTACAGAACTTGTACTTTGTCTTAGTACAAATAAATAGGAAAAAAAGACAAGAGATTTTAAAATTTTCAGCTGATCCTAATTATATTCTGAGCATTTAAGCCAACAGCAAAGGATACTTAAAAATAATATAACCAACTCTGGATGCCATCTTCCATGTTCAACTTTAATTGTTCTTCTGAAGGCCATTTCAGAACCAAAGCAATGCTGCTAACATCTACCTATAACATATACACTATTACTTCTTCAAACTAGAGTTAAACTACTCTTTCTACAAAGAAATATTTTAGAGCAGAACTACATAGTATTATAACACTGATAAGTCTGGAACCCAAAATTTCAGTACAAACATCTTTAACTTCTAGTATATTAAATATCTCAATAAAAGCTAAACAGACTAAGATGTACGTAAATATTTCTTTGGATGTGCATAGAGTTATTTTTTTTTCCATTAACAGGAACAGAACATACCAGATAAAATAAGTAGTTCAATAATTTCTGCATCTCCCAGATAGGCAGCAGCATGTAAAGGGGTCCTTTTCTCATTATCCTGTGGTAAGAGGGGGGAAAAAAGGTTTTATTTAAAATAAAAAAAGTATGTTTTAGCATTCTGTATGACTTATGAAAAAAACACTGCATAAAAGTGCATCTTTCAAATATTGTACATTTTATATTTTAGAAAACATAATTACTCTAAAGACCTTAGTCACATTTACTAAGACAAGCATGTTTCTCCCTAAGGAACTCTTAATACCTACATAGTCAACCGGTGTTTTCCTGACATACACAGATTGACAGATGCTCATCACATCTTTAGATTAACCCATCAGTTAGAAATCACCATTCACTTGTCTCCAGAGACAGGAACTTGAGGCTGTCCTACACAGTTAAAAACTGGTATGTCACCTTCATATGCAACAATTAGTGAGAAACATTTTCTTTGGAAAGTTTAAAGTTACTTTCAGCAGTTATTTTTTAAATAGCAAATAGAAAAGAAGCTGGAGTGAGTAGGGGCAAAAATACTGAAATCCAACTTCAACTGTTTTGTTTACTGTAAATAAGCAAAGAGAAGGTAGAGATGCAATTTATTTTGCAGAGAACACTCTGGAGGATGCAAGCAGGACCCAGCACTTCTGATTAGCTCAGGCTGGTCTAAGGCCCTTTTGAAGGTACAAGTAAGAGAACTTACTTAGCCATACACAAAGAATACTGACGAAGATTCACTTTTGAAAGACTAGCACAAAATATTTCTCAACTTTTTCAAGATCAGTGCCAATTTCCCTGCACCAGGGAAAATAGCTTAATCAGAAAAATAAGATCAGTTTCACATCACAGTGAGTGATAAAAATGAACAAGAACCAACCAGTTTGCTCCCTGAAGGAAGGCCACTGAGAAATCAGAAAAGAGACAGATCATCCTGGTTCTGGCCTAAGCTCTGCTTAGATATCTAGATCTTTTTAGCAGAGTTTCAAATACACCGGGGGTGAGGGGTCAGGATCATAAGCAGCAAGAAATTTTAAATTGCAAGACATTTCTATTAATTCAACTGTTGTGTCACAACTACAGTAAAATTAACGCACATTTTAACTCACATTTTACTGTGAAAAGCATTCCTTTCCCTTGCCAAAATAACCTTATTCAGTGAATCCCTACTTGAGAGTTAGCAGCATACAAGAAGAAAATTGAAGTTCATGGCAGGAGAGATCTGATAGCAGAACTAGAGCTGAGACCCAAAAAGTCACTTCTAAAACATAAAAGACAATTTCAGAACTTACAACACTCAACCCCCCCCCAAGACAACAACACACACACACACACACACACACGATTCCACGCCCCAACCAACCTACTCCCTGTTTAGTCCCTGCTCAGAAAAAGTCGAAGTTACACAGTCACCATCTTAACAATGTCTCCTAACATAATTTTTTGAATTATACACAAGTAATTCCAAATTGAGTGGTGCAAACCTGACACTGATGCACCCTGAATAAGAAATCAATACTACTTACTTATCATTAACACCACATAATGCCTCACAGTACTAGTTACTTGCCAGTATGTCTCAATTGCAGATTACACATGTATGAGAAAAAAGACAGCCCCTGGTACCAAGGACTTGCCATCTGGGGGAAGGGGGAGGGGAGGGCCAGAAAAAGAAGACAGAAAGCACAAAGGAAAAAAGTAACACACATATTAAACTTGTTTCCCCAGCCCAAAGGCAGTAAAGACCAGTCAGCAATGAAAATCAGTTTTCATTCCTCTAGTCTGGAAGAGCAGAGCTACCATAGCTACCCAGTATTTTGCAACCCCATTTAAGCCTTTCTGATAATGCTAAAGAGCCTATAATCTACAGATTAAGGAACACAGAAAAATCAGTATGATATTATACTGTCTGCAATTTCATTGTAGCATTAGAGAAAATAAGATGGGCCATGAGTACGTCCTTCTGTAGAGACAGTATTCACTCAGGAACACAAGCAAAAACTGCATTCCCCACTTACAGAGCAAAATTCATTATTATCAAAATTTTCATCACATTTGTTGTGGTGTTGGTTTGTTTGGTTTGGTTTTGGTTTGGTTTTTTGATTGTTTTTGGTTTTTTAACATCTCAGTGACAGAAGTCATGCAAGTAACCAATCTGATATAACCAATCAGAAATCTTCCAAAAAAATGATGGAAGGAAGGGAGCTATTTGTCTAGAAAAATGCTAATCACCAAACCCCAAATTTATTTTCCTGAAACATCCATGGTCCAAATTTCTGATAAATTCAAGCCACGCTTCTCCAAAAATCCAACCTCTACTAATGTAAACTATTGAGCATCCTGAAACCACCAAGATACAGACATGAAAGCAGCTCGAACACAAGTGTATTTCCACTCCAGCACTCCTGTGCTTTCAAGCTGTCTGTTTCCAGTCATGCAAATATTTCAGTTTTGCTGCTCTTAAGCTGACAGCTTGAAAATATTCAAAGCCCAACTCCCAGTTCTGCAGCAGGGAGTACAAACTGGGAGGGTACGTATGCAGGAGGCTGGTGGAGACTTCCCAGCTCTACAGCACCAGGGCAGCCCTGCTGGGATGCTCATGGCTTGTCATCTTCTGGATCAACTCCAGAGCTTGGTATTTCAACAATCCCAAGCCCCAGGGTCTTTTATCAACCACAAGTATTCTGCATGCTGAGGGTGCTTCGACAGAAGCCTTGACTTTTTTTTCCCTAGTTTCACAGCTGGCACTTTTTGATGCTTCCAAACAATTTTTTTTTAATTTAACTTCTCTGTGAGAAAGTTTTTGGTTTAGTATTTAAAAACCTGTTTTTCAGAACTTCTTACAAAAGCAGAAATGCTGCATTCAGCAAGCTCTCATCAGTATGCAGAAGTCTTTGCTTTCATTAAAAGAAAATTCTAATTTTGTTCCATCTGAAGTCTTACATTTTATTGGTGAATTTTAATAAATGAAGTCTGAGTAAAATTAAAAAGAATCTGTATTTTAAATGCTACTAAAGTACTGCTATACAGATCCACTACTTTCTATTAAAAAACAGTAATCACTTGATGAACAAATTTCATCTGCAAATGCAAACTACTGCATATAAAGCATTACAGTAAATAACGCTAATCAAGCTTTCAGTTTTAACAAGAAACTTTGGAAGCAGACATCTTGCAGCACTAATATATCATACTAATATAAATACCGGCCCTAGTGTTGTTCCTTTAATTTCATGAACTTAAATGACACTAAAAGAAACACTTCAAGAGAGAGGGGGTTTTGCACATAAAAGTCACTGTTACACAGAATGTAAAATCTAACACTGTTGGTACTGTTTAATTCCAAATATCGCAGTATTACTGCGGTATTTGACAACAGAAAAGCAAGTGTTGTGCCATCTTCATTTTCCAGTTCAAAAACCTGCAAGGCAAGTGGGACTATTACAACTCTAAATCAGCTATAATGTTAGTAAGGAAATACATCACACTAATTGCATTAGGCAGGTTTTACATAGTTGAAAGAGAATGTTGGTATTCCAGTAGAAACAACAAAGACATTTATATTCCTAATAAGAAATGCCAAAGTTTAATTCCAGATATTGGTCAACGCTATCAACAAACTAAAAAGCAATAAAAGGGCTCGGTCCTTAAGGAATTACTTTTCAGAATGACAGTTCTGTGTCACAAAAACCGCAACATCATATTTACATGTGCCTTTGGATTGCATTACATGAAAAACATAATCCTTCCATTCACAGTACTTCCATTTCTCAGGTTTCCCAAACATTTCATCTGCACAGGAGTTTCTATAAGGATTATGACATGAGAAATGCATAGGAGAAGGCCTTATGACCCCGTTAAAACCAAATTTGGAATAGAGTGACAGGGATAGTGGTGCTATGAGCTTCTTCATAACTCCCCTAACCTAGAACAAGGGTAATACCACCTTTGTTTCATTTTACCTAAAACATAGGCTTTAATTGTTTCACTGGTTATTTCATGGATCAAAACTTCTACAATGGACAAATGTATGGCTAATTTAAACATGCAGCATTCAAATCCACCTCTTTTTAAAGTAGTAAGCACCTTTTGAGATATAACTATTCCTGGTTTGGGTTCTATCTCAACAATTCATTTAGAGTAAATACATACAACTATAGAGAGCTTTAAGGAGCTAGATGCCTTAAAGGCAGTTCTCTATTAGCCCGTACATATCCAGTAAGACTGCTGTACCCTGACTATAGCTTCCCCAAGAGTATATTAGAATATAACTTCAATTTGCCCTTCAAACAGTTCAACATCTACTGAACTGAAATCATTGAAATAAAGTATTTTTTGGAAAAGGAAAAGCATGAATGCAACTTCCCCCTTCATAAAAACTCCTCTTTATCCTATCTGCTCTTCAAAACCAAATTTTGCAATAACACTTTAAAATACTCTCATTATTTCATGATCACACTTACAAAATATCATTTAATAGGTGTTTTCTGCTGTATCACTTGTCAGTTGTCTGCTTCAATACCATCTGTTCCTGGCAGAAATCAACCCTAAATACACAATCATAAATATTGAAAGAGTTTCAATTCCAACATACCTGGTAATAACTTTAATAAACATTCCTTGTAAGTGAAACTATTTTTAAATATAACATTTCACTTAATGTATTTTTCGGTTAGGTTAGAGAGATAGGACTATTCCACCAGCATGATTTGTAACTCCTGAATTCATAGATAATGTATAAGAACATGATTACAAAATATTTCCACAAAATAGTGTCCAATACCACAGAGGTCTCTCCCAAGGTGAAGTCCCAGTGCTATGCTTGAGAATCACTAGAACACTGAATTTTATTTGCAGATTTTGCAAAATTTTTTTTAGAATTTAGAACTTTTTAGAATTATCATTTTGTAAGGTAGAATAACTGTCTACTCTAAATAAATTTTTTGTTCCTCCACACAAAAAAAAGAACACATTTCAATATTTGGCTTTTACATTCCAACTTTAAACTTCACAGAAGTTTAGTTTAGGTTCGTAATTCTACAATTGAGGCCATTAACTCTTTGGAAG